TATATATGGGTTAAAAGTATATGGGTTAAAATACATGAAATTCTACAATGAATTATACATTCATTCTATAAATAATTTCATGTATTTTAACCCATATACTTTTTTTTGTTTATTGTCTTTTGCTTGTAAATGATTTTTAGAATAACAAAATGTGAAAGTAATCAAAAACTCAATTTCTAAAAACCTACAAACTGAAAAGTTTTTTTGTTGTTGTAATAATTATATTCATATGTGAATTGCCTCGGACCATATCTGGAAACACTATCTGTGAGCTCTATTTGAACTCTATAACTATATAAAAAAAAAATGCTTAATTAAAAAAATTAAACTTTTTGAATGTATAGCAAGTCGTTTCTGATGTTCGAAAAAGATTGTATAACTTCTTTCAACGGTGTTATGCACACTTGTAGTACTTACACAGGCACTGATAAAGACGGCTAACGGGGTCTTTCGTAACTCTAAATAATCCAGCATGTCCTCTAGCGGTCCGTCACTTTCCGCAGGGTCCGTTATTTTGCTTCATTTGTCCGCAAACGAGCTACATAAAAATGCCGCAGAGTTTCTTGTAGCTTGTTTATGTGTGGCTGCGTGAGAAACGTTCCCAATTCAGAGTTTAATAATGTCTTTAAAAGACACAGAGAAGATCTTTCCCTCTTTCATAGAAAGATGGCAATGAAATTATAAAGCATGAGTGTAGGTAAGTATCAAATCTAAATATCTGATGGATGATTTGTCAATTTTAGTAACTCGTGCCTTTTTTGTTTTGTTTTTAAGATTATGTAAAATCAAAATTGGACATTTAAGGTAATCTAGATGCCAGTGTACTACTGAAAGTTGACCAAATTAACTTCTAGCTGTTATACAGGTATTTAAAATCTACAACTATTTAACAGATAAAGGAATTAACGTTACACTATGCACAACACTGAAAACAGCTCATAAAGCAATTTCATCAGGTCTTTAAGATGTTTCTTCTGAGAGATATGAGGGAAAATATTCAAGTGCTTACTTTCTCCAAGCAATGCAGTGAACTCGATTTCAACCCTTTTGGTCCAGTCCTGTAATATCTGACAATGGACCTTTTTCACATTTCCGGGTTTCTCAGCAGCGGAAGTCGTCATCGTTGGGTAAACTTGAAGAGCAGTGAATGGGAGAGCATCACAAATATATTTTTTGCATTCCCATTTGCTCAAATAGCAAAAGAAAAACTCCACGATAGTGTTTTCATGACTTTCAATAAAAGGAAACAAATTATTCAGAAGAAAGAACGATGTCAAATTTACCGTCCCTCGGTAAATAGACGCTGCATTAGAAACACCCTCGCATTAGCGTTAACTGTTTTTTTGTAATTTGATGCAAAGGTGATATAATACAAAGAATAGTGTTATAAATGTAGATACATGAAAAAAAAAATACAAATATGAAAAACTTTCGAGGATTTACGATGCTGATGACCGTTAAACGCGTCATCACAATCTTGTGAAAAGGGTCCAGTGCTTGCAAAAGACCACCTGAGACACAGAGATATACACCATATGCTCTTAAGAGCTAAACCAAACATGTATGAGTCTCTTTTTTTTATTATAATCATACTTACTCTCCTGAAACTAACAATGTAATTTCTGATTTGCTTGATATGTGCTGCCAGCAGAACAGCTCCTGTTATGCATGTACACAAGAGGATGCCTGCAAAACGTTGGTGCAACTATCCATTCATATGTGAATTGCCTCGGACCATATCTGGAAACACTATCTGTGAGCTCTATTTGAACTCTATAACTATATAAAAAAAAAATGCTTAATTAAAAAAATTAAACTTTTTGAATGTATAGCAAGTCGTTTCTGATGTTCGAAAAAGATTGTATAACTTCTTTCAACGGTGTTATGCACACTTGTAGTACTTACACAGGCACTGATAAAGACGGCTAACGGGGTCTTTCGTAACTCTAAATAATCCAGCATGTCCTCTAGCGGTCCGTCACTTTCCGCAGGGTCCGTTATTTTGCTTCATTTGTCCGCAAACGAGCTACATAAAAATGCCGCAGAGTTTCTTGTAGCTTGTTTATGTGTGGCTGCGTGAGAAACGTTCCCAATTCAGAGTTTAATAATGTCTTTAAAAGACACAGAGAAGATCTTTCCCTCTTTCATAGAAAGATGGCAATGAAATTATAAAGCATGAGTGTAGGTAAGTATCAAATCTAAATATCTGATGGATGATTTGTCAATTTTAGTAACTCGTGCCTTTTTTGTTTTGTTTTTAAGATTATGTAAAATCAAAATTGGACATTTAAGGTAATCTAGATGCCAGTGTACTACTGAAAGTTGACCAAATTAACTTCTAGCTGTTATACAGGTATTTAAAATCTACAACTATTTAACAGATAAAGGAATTAACGTTACACTATGCACAACACTGAAAACAGCTCATAAAGCAATTTCATCAGGTCTTTAAGATGTTTCTTCTGAGAGATATGAGGGAAAATATTCAAGTGCTTACTTTCTCCAAGCAATGCAGTGAACTCGATTTCAACCCTTTTGGTCCAGTCCTGTAATATCTGACAATGGACCTTTTTCACATTTCCGGGTTTCTCAGCAGCGGAAGTCGTCATCGTTGGGTAAACTTGAAGAGCAGTGAATGGGAGAGCATCACAAATATATTTTTTGCATTCCCATTTGCTCAAATAGCAAAAGAAAAACTCCACGATAGTGTTTTCATGACTTTCAATAAAAGGAAACAAATTATTCAGAAGAAAGAACGATGTCAAATTTACCGTCCCTCGGTAAATAGACGCTGCATTAGAAACACCCTCGCATTAGCGTTAACTGTTTTTTTGTAATTTGATGCAAAGGTGATATAATACAAAGAATAGTGTTATAAATGTAGATACATGAAAAAAAAAATACAAATATGAAAAACTTTCGAGGATTTACGATGCTGATGACCGATAACGCGTCATCAATGTCTTGTTAAAAGGGTCCATTCTGTGATTTTTTTTGTTTGTTCCCATTTAGAAGACTGTCCATATTGTGGAAAGCCCTTCAAGAGGCTGAAAACCCACCTCCCTCACTGTAAAATGGCAGCAGTTGCACAACCCAAGAAAAGCATTCAAGCACCCAAAGAACCAAGTTCAACCACTTCCAGACAGAAGATCCTTAAAAAAACAGCATCAACAGAAATAAATAATGTCATATTTGATGAAACACTAACCTCCAAAGGAAGAAGGAAAGAAGATAATCACAATGCAGACAGTCTTCTCACAACTACTGTGGTCAAAGTCCCATCAGCTGAAACTCTGAACACGGAGAGACCTACAAGCAAATGGCTTGCTAAAAGACAGAAGGAACTTGAGAGATTACAGCTGTTAGTGCCAGTCTCAAAGAAGCCAAGCAACCCTACCTCATTATCTGACATTGAAATAGATAAAAGCTTTTGTGAGATCTCCAAAAGACCAAATCAGGGAACATCTCAAAGTAATGGAAAAAGTACTAAAGACAAAAAGAAACCAAAGATGGCGCCATTATCAGAGCAGTTGTCCATCACCAAGAGTAAAATCAATACCCCTGGATTTGTTCCAGCCATTCTGAAAAACTCTAGCCTCCCATCTGAGTGCACTGTGCAACATGAAAATCCAGACCTTCAGAAAGTTAACTTCTTGGAGGAGCCTGAAAGACTGAACAAGGATTTTGATCTAGAATCAAGAGCGAACGAGCATAATAAAGCTCATACTTTCTTTTCATCCAAGACTTCAGTGTGGGACCACATCAATGACAGTTTGTATTACAAGAGGTCTTATAATCTGTTTGTGCCTTATCCTATTATGGAAACATCTAAAGATTCTTCTCTGGCGACCAAAGTGATTTCTGATGAGCAACAATCAAACAAACCTGAAACAGCAGTTACCAAGCTTGCCGTTCCACCTTCACCCACTTTATCTGGAAAAGTCATTCATCAACCTGCAGAAGACATCCTAAACTCAAGACTGCAAGGTGTTAGAAGTCTGTCATGGAGTCCAGAGATAGTGACTGCTTACAACAGAATACAGTTCTCCACAGAACCTTTAGGCAGCTATGCTAATGAAAGTAATTGGATTAAGGATCAATCTGCTGGACCAGCGAACCAAAGTGAAGGTAATGCATGATTTATGTGATGTTTCGTTCTTTATGTAATTGTTTTGAAGTAAACAGGCAATGCCTTTGAAAAAAAGAGTAAGCACTTTAATACTTGTATCTAGTATCTTTTGCAACTTTGACTTATGGGGCTAGTTTAAAAATGTGTACACTGCTTCTGAAAGTTTTTTTTTTTTTTTTTCCAAGATTGGTAAGCTAGTTTTCATTCTACCATTATGAGAACATCAAAGACTGTCTGTTTAGGACTATCACTGTATCAAAACATATTGGTGAGAATATTAAACGGCTAATTGTATGTAAACAACAGCTATTGTAAACATTTCATTATCTTAGGTTTACACTTGGGTACCATAGAATTATTATGCACAGTCTTCAGTGTCTAGGATATCAAGCTGATAGTGAATGAGTTACACTTTCATCAACTTGGCTGGAAAGGGCTGTTGGTCCATTGAAGGTATTAAAAATATTGTATGTGAAACACTTTTTTTTATTATTTGCAATTTTCATTCATTCTTTCATGTAAATCTCTTAATTTCATTAAAGTTCCACATCCTCATTGTGCGTCCACACCAGTTTTCGTGACGTACAAGTTTCTCATACCAATCCAAAACAAAAAGAGATTACAAAATATGCTTTGTTCTTTGTAGTGCAGCGGAAACTTGGAGATGTCAGACTGAATGAACTTGGTGTCTGGCTTGGTGCTCGAACTCCTCTGTCACCCAGAGAGATTGTGACCATGTTGAAGCAAGGTTTGTTCCTTAACAATCACAGTACAGCATAGCATAGCATTTGGTCTAGTGTTTTTGATTTTCTTGGTTGTATGTGATCAGGATGGCAGTGGTACTACAGGAAGTATATTGATGTTCGGAGAGGAGGAATTGGTGGGATATCCATGCTGTTGACTGGATACTGTGTCCTGTGTTACATATGGAATTACCCACATCTCAGTGAGTCTGAATTAATGCCATCTACACACATCCCATAATCATTGACACACATAAATAAAATGTCTTGTTTTATGCTGTTTCACAGAGAAAGAACGCTGGAGGAAGTACCATTAGGGGCGTTTGGTGGTCTTCATAATTGTAGCACACTTTGGAGAAGCAGCAGCTTTGTGTTTAGGGCGATGAGGGCATAATAAGCTTAATAATTAATATGGCAAGATTATAACACCAGCAACTAGTAGTTCACTACAATATTAGGGTTGCTTGTATTTTTGTTAGAATTATTATGAATTCTCTGGGAGATAATGGGGGATAATGGAGTTATTTAACTTAAATATGTTTAAATGTTCATTTATTTGCAAACAAAGAGAATTTGTATAATTTTGAAAAATTGTACTAACAAGTTTTCATTTTGTTATTGTGTAACCAAGCAGTGGATTTAAAGGGATAGTTCACCCAAAAATGAAAATTCTGTCATTAATTACTTCCAAACGTCGTTCCAAACCCGTAAGATCTCCGTTCATCTTCGGATCACAAATTAAGATATTTTTGATGCATTCTGAAAGCTCTCTAACCCTTCCATAGACAGCAAGGGTACTACCACGATCAACGTCCAGAAACGTAGCAAGGAGATAATAATCTGGTAAAATAATCCATGTGACATCAGGGGTTCAACCGTAATATTACGAAGCTACGACAATACTTTTTGTGCGCAAAAGAAAAAAAAATGACTTATTTCAACAATTCGTCTCCTCCGCGTCACCCTAGCGCCATTTTGGAGAATATCCACTGAATGCAAACAGCGTATGCTGTTCTGTGTCAGCTGCGTCAAATCAAAGCACAAACAACGTAGAAAACGTATCCGTATCCGAATTGTTGAATAAAGTTTTGCACAAAAAGTATTGTCGTAGCTTCGTAATATTACGTTTGAACCCCTGATGTCACATGGATTATTTTACCGATCTCCTTGCTACGTTTCTGGACCTTGATCGTGGTAATTACATTGCTGTCTACGGGAGGGTCAGAGAGCTCTCAGATTTGATCAAAAATATCTTAATTTGTGTTCCGAAGATGAACGGAGGTCTTACAGGTTTAGCACGACATGAGGGTGAGTAATTAATGACAATTTTAATTTTTGGGTGAACTATCCCTTTAACTAAGATCTAATAAATTATAGAATATTGTTCTAATCTGTTTGTTTTTTTTGTAAGTCCTGTCATATTTTATTGTTGTTTACATGATCATCCTTTAATTTGCTAACTTATATGAAATATTATTACATATAAATATCCACAATTCATCAAAAATGAAGACATTACAAAATATTGGCTGTATTCAAAATGAATTTAATATTTATCTTTGCTGTTGTAATGAACACTCACAAAAACAACAAATCATGAACTGACCACATACAGTATGACGTGAACACATACCTAACATAATAAAAATATTTTTTTGTTTTACATTCTTTTTCTTTACAAAAAGTATAAATATTGTGTGTTTCATGTTTTTAGTTTTTGTAATACAAAAATTACAAATCAAGTTTTGGGTGATGCAGAAAATAAAACGATAAAAGCTACTTTTACCATGGGGTATTACGATAACTGAAGGCCACACTCGCACAACAAAAAGCAGTAAAAACAAATGATAGACTATTTAAACTTGTTTTCACTCACTCTCTCCTAAGGCAAAGAAGCCCTTCGAAGTGAAGGTCTTTCGGAATGCTCTCTAATACCGACCACAAGAGCTCAGATCAGAGAGAAGAATATTTCTCTTTTTTTTCTGTCTGCCTGTCATTTTTGGTTGAATTGCTAGGAAAGACAGTGGAGTTTAGTGTTAATGATGCAAAAACAATGGGATGACGTGTATAGATGGAAACAAGCAACCTTCCCTTCGGCTTTGGAATGGATGCTAATGGTAACGCAGACTTGTCAAAATGTCCGCACACTGCAGTTTCTCTACTCTGGTCAGTTTTTGACATTGTCTTGGTCGTATTCCCATTGTTAAAGCTCACAAGTCTTGTAATGGCACAGTTACACCATTTTCTAGCCTACAAAATACAACTGAATGCTAAAAGTCTCCTCTTCAGAAATGATCTCTCAAAACTGGTTGTTAAAATGTGGGCCTGTCCTACTCCAACCAAACTACATTATTTCAGTTAACAGCCATCTCCTAATGCAACTAATTAGAATAATCATAGTGAGTGAAAACCTGATATGCTGTAACGGCACTACTGCTGCTTTCACAACTTTAGAACTCATAGGAGAGAAGAGATCTGCAAAGGGGCTGTAAGAGCTGTGAGCATGGCTATCTGTGAAGTACAAGGTCATTTCCACATGTGAAAATAGAAGCTGCCACTAGGGGCAAAAACTGCAAACCGACCACCAAGACTACAGCCTGACCAGCAGGGATCTCGATGCACAGGAGGAAATGAAAAGGTTCAAACAACATCTAGGTGGGTGAATCTCACAGAAATCTCAAATCAAAGGAACGAAATAAGACATTATATTTGCTCAGAGAAATCAAGCCTATTGTGGACCTCTGAGATTTTGTTGACCACTGTCATTATTTCATGACTATTAAGCACATGTATAACCAATTTTCATTAATGCAACAAAACATATTTTCATTATAAATAAAGAAGCGATATATGTTAATGTGAGAATTTTTTTTTTCAGTTATAATGTACTAATACATAACAGTATTGTTGCACAGCCTTTAATTCATGCTTATTTAAACTAAATATAAACCATACTTTATTAAAAAACAAAAAAGATTTAGAGATTTTTTTTCAAAATATGCAATATGAATTTGATGATGTAAATGCAGCAATCAAAATTTGTGGTAAAATGTGCTTGATTGTCGTGAAAAATATCACAATGCAAAAATATATATTACTGATCCTAAAATGGTTTTAATTTCTTTTTGCAAAATATTACTTATTTTTATTTCCTTTCATTTTGGGTCAAAATGTGACTGACAAGTTTTTATGAGATTCACCCATGCGAGTTATTGAGACTTAAGGTACAAAACGGCACATATTTTCTCCAGGCAGGGAGAAGCACAGATTTTACAAAAAAAAATAAAAATAATGCATCATTTAAAAAAAATGAATTAAAACAAACAAAAAAGATAAACAATGTAACATTGTACCCTCAATCTGAGGTCTTAACTTTCCCCTGCACAAAACCACACAAGTGAGTTTTGTCTCTGGAGGGGTCACATACCTGTAAGGTACAACAAAAAAGTAAACCAAAAAAGAAAAAAAGAGCACAACCAATGCTCAAAAACAATTAAATGTGCAGGTGTGTTCGTGTGCGTCACTTGTTTCAATGTCTACTGCACTGACACAACATAAGTGTTGAGACAACCATACAACCTTAAGTGCGGACTGACTATTTGTCTAAGTGTCTGATATTGATCGATAAGCTACAAATATCAATGTCTACTCATGACATTTCAAACATCACACTTACTGCTTGATTGTGTGTGTATGTGTGCATATATTGATGTGTGTGTGTGTGGTTGCAAGTGTATCCTGTGAAGCACTGTCAAAAAGGCTTTCTTATGTAAACTTCTCTAGAACAACAGGCACAGTAGTAGAGTATCACCATCACCAGATTCACCTTCCTGTTCCTCGACATCGTCACAGCCGCTGTGTGCATTTTAACCCGCGATAATGCCAATGTACGTCCGTTCAGCTTGCACACAAATGGCATGAAATGAGATTAACATGGAACAACTAACAAACATAAATATGGCACTGTCTAACATTCTAAGATGCTATTCACGGCAGCCTCAAGCACAGAGTCAGCCAGTGGGGTGTGACTATGATCTGAGGGAAGCTGATGTTCATGACCCTGCCCCAGGTTCGAAGGGTAGCCTTGGGCGGAGCTATGCTGTGATTGGCTGGGAGATGTAAGGTAGTGAGCATGTTGACTGTTGCTGCTGATTAGGTTGTTGAATTTCGTTTTTTTTAGGTTCAGGATGCACTTGATGGGAGTTCTTCTGTGTTCCTCCATTCCTTGTTGTTGAGGTTCTGTCCTATAAGCAGGTTCTGTGTGGCTGTTCATACCCTGCCCATCTCTTCCGGTGTGACTTACGGAATGCCTTGGGGATGTCTCCATTACGCTGGGATTGCCCTCATGGGTGGCGGGCGTCAAAACTTCTGTACTTCGGATCTTCAGTTTAGGGCCACAGCAGAAGTCTTCCAGGAATCCATCTGAGAGAGCGATGTAGAGAAACATCACAAACATAAAGCCAATCAAGCAAAACGCATTTTTTTTCAATTGCATTTTGGTTGCATTTACGTGTAAATACAGTACAATATCTTAAAAACATTCCAGAAATGACACTAATTATTTTGAAAAGTAACCAAAACATTTATACTTTATATCTAACTGTTCAAAAATTTCCAGTACCGTCTTTACATTCTGCTTTTTTATTACTGAAATGTAATTTTTTACATTTTTACATATTTTTTATATATGTAATTTATATATGTTCTCTAAGGCTTTGGCAATTGTATATAATCATGCATGTGTTAGTTTGCATAACAAAACTGATATGGGTCATTCCACGAAATCGGTGCCTTTTCCACTTGGACAAAATTAAAAAATAAAATACATTTAATAATCAATCTTTTTTAAATATCCATGAAATGGAGACACCTTAAAATGACAAGAAATTGTATTGTGCCATCTCAGGCTATGTAATTTATTATTTTATTACTATTTTTCTACCTCATGTTTTGGTATTTTTGTTACCGACACAAGCGTTACTAGATACTATAGTTCTCTAGTATAGTACTAAACTCATATGCCACTGAATGATTTAATGATTTATAAGCATTAGCTCAATAACATGTGACCCTGGACCACAAAACCAGTCTTAAGTCACTGGTATATTTGTAGCAATAGCCAAAAATACATTGTATGGTTCAAAATTATTGATTTTTTTTTATGCCAAAAATCATAAGGACATTAAGTAAAGATCATGTTCCATGAAGATATTTTGTAAATTTCCTACCGTAAATATATCAAAAATTAATTTTTTATTAGTAATATGCATTGCTAAGGACTTAATTCGGACAACTTTAAAAGTGATTTGCTCAATATTTGGATTTTTTTGCACCCTCAGATTCCAGATTTTCATATAGTTGCATCTCAGCCAAATATGGTCCTATCCTAACAAACCATACATCAATGGAAAGCTTATTTATTCAACTTTGAGATGATTTATAAATATCAATTTCAGAAAATTGACCCTTATGACTGGTTTTGTTGTTCAGGGTCACATATACCAAGGGTGACCTTTAAAATGTTTGAATTTTACACAGACAATCTTTAAAAACAGGGTCAAACCTAATCAATGTCATCCCTGTTACCCACATGTCAAAACCTGTTACTCTAAAAAGTAACAGGTTGACAGTAACAGGGTTGACGATTTCAAACAAATTTGCTAATTGCTAGC